GTCATGACCAGCACTGCTTAACGTGACCAAATAGTTCAGTGAGAACCAGACCAATGACCTAAACTGAATGACCTTTCCAGTCAGAAAAACGATGCATGTTTTTTTAGCTGCTTTGTCAGCTTTTCTGTACATATTTTTTAAAAGTATATATATTGAAGGTAGAATAATAAATACTTGCATTGAAATTTTTTTTTCTTGAGTGTTTTGTGTGTGGCTGATTGCACTTTAAACACAATAATTATACTGGTTTATATTGGTTTGAGATATTAGAAACTGTTAAGAAATGAAATACAGGCAGTAATCTCCTTATAACCAAAAATAAATATAACCTGAAGTTAAACATTTTGTACAATGAAGGCTTTAGACATGATAATTGGTTCATGTAGTAACACAAGACACTGATTTTTTTTTACTATTACATTTGTGCCTTTCACCTGAGAATGTTCTCACCATTGTGGGCAAACTTCACCCTACAGTTAAAAAATATGGCTATCCGGTAAAATACTGCAAACGGACCAGAATATGCATGTGGAAGGTCAGGGATGTGAACACATTTGTATGTTAGTGCCCTTAAACTTGGAATAAAACTTGGCCCCAATTAACGATTATGATAAAGTTGCTAAATAATGTCAAAAGATATTACAATATATAAATAAATAACAGTAAATTACCTTTTCTATAGATTGCCTGAAAACAACTGAAAAGTGTCAAGGGACAAGTGCCTTTTTTAACTGAGGCAGATTTTTTCTCAAAAAGTAGACATTTACGTAATAGACCATGCCATACCCAAAGAGTTCATATGTTACTTATCATTTGTACAAAAGAGAACAACTTTCAGCAAATCTGTATTTCTGAGGTTGTAGCGATAAAGAAATACACAAGAATTTACATTTGAATGAATCCATTGCATTTGCAAATGGTGAATACTAGGTTAAGATGAGTAAAACATATTTATTTGTACTGCAGAAACATTGGAAATGGTAGTAAAATAACAATTGGTTATTTAAAAAAGTTAATTGAGACTTAAGCAATGATTTTAGATATAATGAATATCTTTGACAAAGTTTCACATTGATTTGAGAACATTGCTGGTTCACTGTACCTGACTTAAATAATAAATAAATTCTAGAAATACATTTTAAATGGGGCGTTACCCAGCTATTATTATTTTTAAAGTCACTTCAAATAATGTAGTCATGGTTGTTCACTGTCATCCAATATCCTATAAGTGAAACTTGAGTGAACCGAACACAAAATATTGATCACATGGAACCCTTTTTCATTTATTCTTTTCAACCACAGAAATAAATGACTACATTTGAACAAGTGAATTTTGAACACAGCCCCTAAACATTGTTACTTTCAGCATAGGAACAACCTGCCATCTCTGTCAGCAACTGATTATTATTTAACGTTTAAATTTTCTTATTAATCAACCTCATTGCCACCAACTCTATTTCTACCTTACATTAAAAAACATGATTAAACCAGGATTACATGATCATGTCAAACATACAATTGTTAAACTTCGCATACCCACATACATACATATAATTATTGAGGAATAACCATAATCAGGAAATCCTTTCTATTGTTTGTCTCGAATTAATACCTGTATTAAATGCAATGAAGCCAAATACCCAATGATCATTTTAAAGTGATATTGTGCACAGATTTCAAACGTGGGTCAAGATCCAAAGCTTCATTGAATAATTAGCTCAAAAGTGATTATGTCTGCTCTTATCATTCAAATCCCACATTGTAACACCCTCCCTTTCTAGTGCTCCTTGATTCAAATCTTATTAGGAATCTCAGAGGGGTATAAAACCACAGCAGGTGCATCCTAACAAATAAGAGAAACTCCACTGCAACAGATTGCATCTTAAGGGTGTTCTGGATAGTGGACGAAGATGAACGGCACTGAAGGGCAAAACTTTTATATCCCCATGTCCAACAGGACTGGGCTGGTGAGGAGTCCTTATGAATATCCTCAGTACTATCTAGCTGATCCTTGGCAGTTTAAACTACTTGCCGTCTACATGTTCTTCCTCATCTGTTTTGGCGCTCCCATCAATGGCCTCACATTGGTGGTTACAGCTCAACACAAAAAGCTCAGGCAACCACTCAACTTAATTCTGGTGAATTTGGCTGTGGCTGGAAGCATTATGGTATTATTTGGATTCACAGTCACATTCTACACAGCAATTAATGGCTACTTTGTTCTGGGACCAGCTGGCTGTGCTATTGAGGGCTTCATGGCTACACTTGGAGGTGAGAGAAATTTATGTTCTGTAATAGCAACATTTATTATACACATATATATATATATATATATATATAATTTTTGTTCACGCCATTTTTTTCGATCAAATGCATAGGGCAAGTATCTCTTTGGTCTCTGGTGGTGCTGGCTATTGAGCGGTACATTGTAGTCTGCAAGCCAATGGGGAGCTTCAAATTCTCATCCACCCATGCTTTTGCTGGAATTGCATTTACATGGGTTATGGCGTTGGCATGTGCCGCTCCTCCTCTGGTTGGCTGGTCCAGGTTGGTCAAATGTATTGTAGATGTTAAAACAATCATTTAACAAGTGAGAACTAAAAATATATGCAGTTTAACTAGGATTTTATTTTAAGAAAAGGCTAATCAAATATTTCTTAACACAAATATTTTCTTATCAGGTATATCCCTGAAGGAATGCAGTGTTCATGTGGGCCAGACTACTACACCCTGAATCCTGAATACAACAATGAATCATATGTGGTCTACATGTTCACCTGCCACTTTATGGTCCCAGTCACCACAATCTTCTTTACATATGGCTCACTTGTTTGCACTGTCAAAGCGGTATGGAATATTATTTTGACCCTTTCTTACAAGCTCCCATTTGTTGCACTTTCAAGTAACGCCTCATGGTTGCTTTACTCTTTAGGCTGCAGCTCAACAGCAGGATTCTGAATCAACCCAGAAGGCTGAGAGGGAAGTCACCAGGATGGTCATCTTAATGGTTGTGGGCTTCTTGGTGGCTTGGACCCCTTATGCCAGTGTTGCTGCTTGGATCTTCCTGAATAGAGGAGCTGCATTCAGTGCCCAGTCTATGGCTGTTCCTGCCTTTTTCTCTAAGAGCTCCTCCATATTCAACCCAATCATCTATGTGCTGCTAAACAAACAGGTAAATCACACAGTAGACTTGTTAGAACTGAAGTTTGCATTCTTCACATTGACATGAAATGTACTAAACAAAATGTCCATTAACAGTTCCGTAGCTGCATGCTCAACACACTTTTCTGTGGCAAGAGTCCTCTTGGAGATGAAGAGTCATCTGTTTCCACCAGCAAGACAGAGGTGTCCTCTGTGTCTCCAGCATAGATCATCTTTTCGGTCTGGATATTCTTTGCTCTTTTGAACACGTCTACTACACACATGCAGCATATTGTGGACTGTTACCAATTGAAGATTACAAAAGCCTCTTCTTGAGCCTTTTATTCGATAAATGGAAATGTGTATCCTCTGGAAAATAAAGGAATAATGTTTTTATAGAAATTCTAAATATTAATGCAATTAAAGCACTTATCTGAACTCATTTTTCTGCACACCCTGAAAATATTAATTTTCTGCTGTGTTTGGATGGAGTCTTGATTTTTTTCTGCCATTTTCTTGCTTGCAATAAACAGTCTGACTTTATTAAGTCAGGATATGTAAATATTTTATAAAAAATATTTAGTTAGAGTATATAAATAAAAGCATTCATTCAACAATTCCATTGTTTTTTTTTCTTCAAAATGTTTTTTAAACTTCATGCAATAAAGCAAGTGTATAACACAATTTCCAATTTACCAAAAGATGTAGCAATTTTTTGTTAAAAAAATACATATTTTGAAAAACTAAACATAGAGTGCTACCAGAGTTTATATTTAATAAAAGGTTTGAGAGATGGTAAAGGTAAACTATATGAAAGTACAATACTATACATTCATGTTATCCAAAACACTTTATATGTAAGGGAAAAACAAACAGTTTTTTCACAAAGTAATAGTTCATCACAAGCAGAATTCATAATTGATCATTCATGTTCACACCATTCTTAGGTTTTCTCAAGTCTCAAGTCAAAAAGGTTGTTCTACTCACTTGCAAGTGCACATCCATATTGCGGACAGTGACATGTGAACACAGGAAGAGTTCATTCATCCTGTTCCACTAGATTATCTCTCAGACTGAGATTTAGAAGATTACGAGGTCAAAGACTCGGAAGCTAATCCCCAACACTGAGGATGGATTTCATATAGCAAACCTGTCAAAGAGCCAAGTAGATGCAATCCAGTTGGTTATGAAGCCCAAATCTTTTTAATGCTAACATTCATGCTTCTGAAGTTATTAAAGTACTGCTTTACACAAAAAGCTAAGGAAGACTACAATTTTATAGGTCACTTTAGCTTTTGGCAGAACAAATCGGGACTCACTGTCACCTATTTTTCTGAAACTCGGGCCACATTGCACAACTGGCTGTGCCTCTGAAGACATCTTTGCAACAGTTGGTGGTGAGGTTATTTTTGCCTTTATGAGTCGTTTATTTAGATTTGTTTTACTTTGTCTGACTTTGTTGTGATTGCTTTCCATTTTATTTCCACAGGTCAGGTTTCTCTGTAGCCACTGGCCATTGAGAGGAACATTGTGGTGTTCAAACCAAAGAGAAGCTTCAAATTCTCAGCACATTGATGCAATGGCTGTTGTCCATTTTGGGTGGTTTGGGTAAGACAGACAATCACTACTTTTAATCAAACTTGAAATTAAACAATCATCTGTTAAACCAGGTTGAGTTAACCTTGATTCTGGAGTATCATTGCCATTCAATCATGATTCTCTACCTTCACCAGTAGCACCTGAACGAGCCAAGAAGCCATTATTAAGGCTGAGTTGCCTTAATAGCTCTTCCCCTATACCTAATTCCTAACTTTTAGTGCTCAATCAATCTGTAAACCCCTATGAGGATGTATTAATCAGTCAATGTGGCTCAGTTGGTAGAGCATTGCACTTATAATGCAAATGTTGTGGGTTTTAATCTCAGAGGAAGCAAAAACTGACCAAAAAATTGTTCATTATTTAAAATTTAAGTTGCTTTGGATAAAACGTCTGCCAAATGCAAAAATGGAAATGATTTTGAAGGATCGGCAAATGCTTGTAATTATATTACAAATCACTTCACATAGTTGTTACAATTTTAAATATATAAACATAATTTGATATGTCACAAGTCTTTTAATGTTTTTAGGCAAATAATGACAAACTATTGCATTATAACTAGACATTTTTGTGCGAGAAGCATTACTTGTACTGACCTATATTTGAACATTGGCCAAAAAAATAAAATTCATGATTTTCATTGTTTTAAAACTGTTATAAATGACAGAATTACTAACATTATTGCTGGTGGCAATCTCACCCCTTTGCTTCGTACCTCCGGATCTTCCTCTGAATGCCATACTTTCCTTCATCCCATCCCTTTTCCTTCATTTGAAAAAGATTTGGGGCAACCCCCTAACCACACGTGAATGTGAGGGGTACGGCTAAAGGTTAGAAATGGAATGAAACTCAGCCTTAGTTTGATTAAGTGGGATTTATTAAAGTTAAAGCAGGGCTGTGGCACTCCAGGAACAGGTTGCCCACCCCTGGGTTAAACCTTTGATTAGAGGCAAAGTTTTACTTTTAACGGCTGCAGATGTAGTTTTCACATTTCAGTCACAACCACAAAGTGTAACTTGGATGTGACTTTCAGTTGGCGTTCTCAAAGTTGATTTTAAAACTGTGTAAGCATCACTGGCACTGCCCTAACTTGGTGTGAATCATACCTTTCATTTGCAGTTTCTGTTTTGGTTCTTCTTTGTGTTTACACCAACATCCTGTATCAACTCTAGGTGGGTTTATTTAAGACTTGTCACTCAAGACCCATGACTCTGTCACATCATTCTAGTTCTGCTTGGTGACATCACACTATATGGGACAGACATGCACCACCTCACCATTAAAGCAGAAGAAGTAACACACAACACTGAGCGCAAACAATATGTGCCAAAGGTATCAACAGATGTGAGCTCAACAACTGACTAGGGTCACTTTAAGAAGACAAAAATGTAGAAAAAAGAGAGGATTTGGGGTGAGACATTTCTTTCCTGTTTCCTCCACAAAGTAGCTATGAAAATGTGGGATGAGTGCTACAGAGTGGTTTTACATTCTACTCACGTCATCAAAAGAACCAGCTTTCATTTGTCCTTCTCCTTGTAAAAAATGTGTCCGATTTGGCAATCCAAAACTCTTTGTCAGTGGCACCACTCGTTCGGTCAGATGTACGATGTCCCGTTGGCATCAATGGTTTTCGATCGAGAAGCGTTGTAAAACTGTGCACCAAAAATTTGGTTCAGTTCGTGTTGGCTTTTTGTCTGTTTTTCTTTATGTGAATCTGGTTCTATGTAGTTTTCTGGTTCTAGTTGAGCATTTTTCATTCGAGCTAGTGGATTCTTCTCCCGCTTACATCCTGTCTCATATAATTGTGTTAGGTGAAGGTGTGAAGGTGTGCTTCAGCTGTCAGTTTCCACATCAGACTCTCTCAATCACCTCTGTAGTTAACTCTTGTAGTTAAGTTTTATTCCATTTACATGTGCTTTTGTAATGTTGTTCAACTCTGAATGTTGTTTTATTCCTGCAGGTGCTTTATGTTTGATTCAGGTTTGCTAGGTTTCTATTTATGCTCTCTTTATATTCAATCAGGGTTTCCCCTCTCATGGGTGAGTTTTGTTTGTTTCAAATAAAGCATCTTAAGTTATTACTGCTTCACAGTTGGGTTCATATTACACTCATTTGTAAATTTAATAAAATGTAATCTAATCGCCATGCAATGGAATATTTTCGAGAGCCCCTTTCCACATCAAGGGAAGCAGAAGTGTTTAAGTCTAATTTTAAGTTCAGTTTGAATTTAAACATACTGGATTGTGAGGACTGCGATGGACTGGCGACCTTCCAGGGTGTACCCCCACCTCTCGCCAAGTGTGCGCTGGAGATAGGCACCGGCAGACCCCAGTGACCCCAAAATGGGAATAAACGGGTTGGAAAATGAATGAATGAATGAATGAATGAATGAAAGGACTGTGAAGAATGCACACAAAATTGCCTCATGGCCACTTTTGAAAGGTGAGTCAGAATAGTCACTTTGTGAAACATTAACCATCCAAAAAAAAAAACTATTATAAGCCTAGAAAAACACAAAGCAATTGTTTAGAGGCTTACTATAACATTAATGACCCATTGGTTTTTATAATATGGTAATATTGATAATGTTAACAAATGAAGCCTGGGAGAAGTTTATAGCCATCATTCAAATTATGCATTTTTTTCATCTAATTTCAATTGTAAATGTCAATTTGACGTAACATAACGATTGATGATGTTTAACACAGGACAAGTCATGTTTAAAAATAAAGTGACCCTATTAAAGATGTTTAGAATTAACATGACAAAGTTTATCTAAAATATTCAAGAAAGAAAATGAAGCCAAGGATGATCGTGTAGATGCCCAAGTGAGCCTGATGTCTAGCAGCGCCGCTCTGATTAATCAATAACATTAGACAATGCAGATGAATACAGAAGAACATATAAAATCCTTGCTAACTGGGATGTTAATATTGCATGTATGCACATGTATTTCACTGTATTTTTATTTATTTTATCCATTATTAAAATCGTATCCAGACTCTGGTCAGGGAGACATGAGTGGTGGGGTGGTGCCCTCTATGGGCAGGCCACCACTGCTCACCACTAAAGAGCATCTTAAGCTTCTTGTCTTGTCCCAGCATCAGGAGGTTGTGTAAGTTCTTAAAGGGACCCGGTTAAGAAGACTAATAGACTAACTCACATTTCAAAACAGCATAGTTGTAAAAATGCTTTGTCAGCTTTTCTGTACATATATTAATAAAAGTTTATATATATTTAATGTATAAAAAATTATTTATTTCATTCTTTGGTTATTTGTGTGTGGCCAATTGATGGCTGAAAACAACCAAGCAGCCAAATTGAAAACAAGGCCCACTCTTTACGATAATCAAATGAATCGTACTACTTTATATTTTTCAGAATAAAACTACAAATATTGTCCTGTAAAATATACATTAAAAAGACTTTTAAAATATTATGAAAACAAAGCTTCTTAAAAGACATTTGCTTCTACTGGATGTGCATGGTGACACTAAGAGATTCAACTATGAATGTGATCTTTTATAAATGAGACCAAACCTTGTGGAGTTCTTCCTGCCCTTGCATGTGCATTTTCAGCAACTGTAACAGTACCATAGGGTCAAAAAAAGATGCATGTCACGTGAATTGTTGCAAACGAGAGAGAAAATTAGTTTCTAGGTTAAGAAACTCGAGAGATAAATTGGGAATTTCCATTTAATAAGCGCTTGAGGCAGAGAATGGAGTGAATGCCTGTCTCACTGTGAATGGTTTTTGACAGCAAATTTAAGGAAATTTAATCTGATAACAAATTACACAAGTTCTTTAAAAGTCTTAGCCGTCCATGTTCAGGCTGTAGTGACATGAGGTATTATCATGTTTAAGTTATGTGCACATGACAAAGGAGTTTAAAATTGTGGTGCTCGATTTGAATACATTATCAATTTCAAGTGCAAAAAAAGCTGGATTTTAAGTGAGAAGCTAAAAAGCATCCCTAGAAATAAAAGTTATTATCCAAATATGGATTTTAATTTACTGAATATAATTTTCAATTCTAACAATTCTTGGTTGCAACTGTCTGATTCAAGATGAAATTAATTCAATACATGTGCAAATGATGCCTAATTGGTATATTTACAACTCAAAGAAAACATTGGAAATGTTGTACATTGATTATAGAAGTGAATAAACAAAGATAAAACAGTTTCGCATTTGAATGTCAAATTAGAAAAAAAAAACAATGACATCCGTCTAAATGAAACACGAATCAAACACAGCATCCAAGTCACTCTTTGCATATTAAGATATTTTATTGAATAATTAAACAGCAGTGAACTATTTGTATACATATATTTAAACAGCAGAAAGTGAATTTTTAAGACAAAACATTAATCGCAGTAAAAATAAATGCATCCAGTGATCGGAGACTAATACCAACATGATTGCTATTTCAAATAACTATCACACAAAACTAAGATATTATTAAACAATTCTAATTAGGAAATCCTAAGTCTAAGCATTTCTTCTCCCAAAATAATTAATAATCAATGCAACTAACACAAAAAGTACATGAATTTCTTATAAAGGACAGTGTAGCATACACTCACCTGGCTTAAAAGAGTGATACTGCAAACTAAAGTAAAAATGGTCCAAACAAAGGGATCAATGAAAATCCAAAGCTTCATTGAATAATTAGCTCAAAAGTGATTATGTCTGGTCTTATCATTCAAATCCCACATTGTAACACCCTCTCTTTCTAGTGCTCCTTGATTCAAATCTTATTAGGAATCTCAGAGGGGTATAAAACCACAGCAGGTGCATCCTAACAAATAAGAGAAACTCCACTGCAACAGATTGCATCTTAAGGGTGTTCTGGATAGTGGACGAAGATGAACGGCACTGAAGGGAAAAACTTTTATATCCCCATGTCCAACAGGACTGGGCTGGTGAGGAGTCCTTATGAATATCCTCAGTACTATCTAGCTGATCCTTGGCAGTTTAAACTACTTGCCGTCTACATGTTCTTCCTCATCTGTTTTGGCGCTCCCATCAATGGCCTCACATTGGTGGTTACAGCTCAACACAAAAAGCTCAGGCAACCGCTCAACTTCATTTTGGTCAATTTGGCTGTGGCTGGGAGCGTTATGGTATTCTTTGGATTCACAGGCACTTTTTACACAGCAATTAATGGCTACTTTGTTCTGGGACCAACTGGCTGCGCTATTGAGGGCTTCATGGCTACCCTTGGAGGTGAGCGATTGTTGTATTCGCTATATTTATTTATGTATTGTAACTATATTATTGTGTTTACATTTGTTTTTTCGATCAAATGCATAGGGCAAGTATCTCTTTGG